AGTTCCTTTCGAGCGTTTGCTCCTGGTTTTCAAATTCTCTAGTCTCTGTCGAAATTCTCTAGTCTCTTTCGAGCGGTTTGCTCCTGTTTCTGGAACTCCCTAGTTCTTTTCGAGCGGTTTGCTATTTCAATTTCTCTAGTCGCTTTCGGTAGTCTCTAGTCTCTTTCGAGCGTTTTGCTGCTTGTTCTGAAATTCTCTAGTTCCTTTCGAGCTTTTGCTCCTGGTTGTCAAATTCTCTAGTCTCTGTCGAAATTCTCTAGTCTTTCGAGCGGTTTGCTCCTGTTTCTGAAATCCTTTCGGGCGGTTTTCTCCTTGTTTTCCACTTCTCTAGGCTGGAACTAGTTGCTTTCCATTAGAATTTGAAAAGCATTGTAATTCGAATTTTAACCCTGGCAGGACCAAAACCTGAGCATTGTATTTCGAATTTTAACCCTGCAAGGACCAAAACTTGAGCAATTTGATTCAAATTTAAACCTTGCGGCGAGGACAATTTGCAGATTGTAATTTGGATCTAAGCTGCAGTCGGCATTCCCGGATTAAATTCAAATAAAACCCCTGCATTGGAAAGGGGCTTCAAATCCGAATTTAAGATCGCCCAACCCCATGGGAGATTTAATTCAATTCAAATCCACTCTCCCTCCATACCGGGACAAGATTCAATGTGGAATTAAATTCGAATTNNAATTTATGCCTTCGCCACCGTAAATGACCGTAAAACATTAAATTTGAATCTAAGCCCTCCAGCCGGGCACCTGAACCCCGCACAGAAAAGGCATAAAATCGAATTTAACTCCACATTGAAAATGAAATTCTACCATAATCGCCTTCATAGTAATACAGGCCGTAGCTTCCAAAGGTGATCGGTCTGTAGCTTCCAAATCTGAATCTATGTCAATGGAATAGAATACTGCCAGATTCTCCACGCCTGCCACATCCCCCAGCGCCCGGAGGCCCGGGACTACTGGGGAGTGGAGCCCTTCAGCCATGACTGAGCCAAAGCTGCAGAGAAAAGCCATGCAGGAGGCAGGGCCAAGTAGCACTTTGCAGGAGAATGCGAAGAAAAGAACTGGCCTCCAAGGAATAGTACCTCTTCGGCATCGCGCACTCAAGCAGGAGAGGATGCCCTCTCAGCAAGTGCTGCGAAGTTGCGCGGAGTCCCGAACATGCTCGTCTTCATCCTCCATCCTGGACCGATGGCAAGCACAACCAAGGCCTACATGGCCTATATGGGCTGCAAAGCTTTGGTAGCACTTGGAGGCCCCCAGAAGGCCTCTCTTCGACTTTCCTTGCAATGTCCTGCAGTCGCAACACAAAAACCCCGGAAATCTAGCGCAGAGAGCCTCAGCCTCTGGCTTTCATGTCTTGCGTAACAATCTTCTCCAATAGTTGCACGCAGGCCTCTTTGGCCGAGAGTGTTTTTCGAAACTGAGTCGGAGTTTTGGGCGAATCCCTCATCTCCGGGGCGCTCCTTTTCTCCACGCCTTCTCCTCCCTGCTACAGGTCTCGCAATCGCAGCCTCCGACGGCGGCGGCGCGGCGGCGTGCGCAGCAGCTTGGGCTTCTGAAGGGTCCGGGCGGATCTTCGGCGGCGTGGCCACACCGGCTTCCGCGCTCGACCCGCAGGGCTTCTCGAGGTCGGCCGCTGACGCCCTTGCTCAGTCGCCCACGAGTCCCACAGAAGTGCTCCCTTTGGCCTCGACTCGACGGTGGCTGAAGGTGTCGGTGGCGTGCAGCTCCGGGTGTTGGGCCCCAGCTCCGGCAAGCGCTCGGCACCAGCTGTCACTAGCTGATTGGCAAATGGTCGATGCAGCGCATCGCATCGTAGATGTCGTTGGTCCAATTTGTCCAGGGAGACCTCCTTATAAGGAGAGCATAGAACCTGGGAAGAAGTTCACAAGAAGTCCAAGAAGAGTAACCGAGATGTAAGACGCTATTCCACACGCTATTACGGACAATGACTATATACACAAAAAATTGAAATAGTAATGGTAGCTACAGCTTTCTTTGTGTGGCTCAAGCGGCCACTCCACCACCTTCGCAAGGTGCTTCTCACTGCGCTCCTCGGGCTCAGGAGGACTGGGCTTTTTTGTAAGTGACCGGGTCTCTAGCCGTAGGCTTTACCGGCTTAAGGGTTTCCTCCCACCTATGAAGTGGAGGTAGGAGTGCCATGAGGGCTGCGTCCGGCCCACTTAGGGGTGTCTGAGAGATCATGGCACTTAGGGGCCTTAAAGGATTACTCACCCGATCTCCGAGCTTCCCTCTCAGCCGGGCATGCAGGCAGCTTCGGGAAGAAGTCCTCCTGGCAGGTCGTTCTGGGTTACCAACCTTCCAAAACGGAGGCGATGCCAGTGAATTTCGCAACTTCCTTCCTGGACAATCTGTCGGATGAGTTCCTTGGCGTCCTCTTCGGTCTTCGCCCGCCTCGCCACAGAACGCATGTCAGAACGTGGTACTGCTCTCCAGAGGAAGCTTCGAAGCTCCTGGCCTCACTTTGCTGATGAGATTGGTCACGAAGGTGGTGCCACGGCCTCTGCAGAAATCCAGCTACCAAAGACTTCAAGGCTACAAGTCGCTGCTCTTGCATTGTCTTGTGCCTTTGCCACAAATGAGGTACTGAATCACAAGCGGCAGCATCGTGGAAAGGTCGACGTCCAAGGCTGGCTTGTGCAGGTCCTCGCAAGCTTTCTGCTTGCGTTCATCGCTCTGCACTTTCTGCTCTGCACTCCCTAGGTCCTCGGGCTCATCTTGTGTCTGTGACCCCTGGATGTATTCGGAGGGGAACCTTCAAAAAAGCTCCCTCCCCACCCCAAAAAAGTAGATGTGGCAAAGAGGTTTAGGGTCCCGGCTGGATGGAGCCCTTGCTGTCACCGTCGATGTCGATGAGCCGGGCCTTGCGGCAGTCCCTCGAGACCAGGACGTTGTTCATGTGGTTGAAATCGAAGGCCTCTGAGCAGAACACATCTTTGTGAAGCCCTTGCAACAGTCCGCTGGAGCTTTCGCTGCGCCTGCACCCCCATCAACGTCAGATCTCTGAAGCCATTCAGGAGACTAACCTCGAGCCGGAGCGCCGACGCGGAGCTGCGGGGATTGAACCACTCCGACTCCGCCAGGCCACCAGCAAGACTTTCACCTTGATGAGAGAGAACTTGGACTGCATGTCTTTGATGCGCCAATGCTCCTTCGGGTCCCAGAAACCGCACGTGGAAACGCCCTGTTTCTGGACACACGTACCTCTGGCGAGAGGTCGCCCGAGGCCAGAACCTGTCCAGCATCATGGAACCTACAGCCCCGAGCCTCCACTTGACGCGAGCCTTGGTGTAGTCCTCCATAAACATCTTCAGCGTGTAGGCCGAGAAGTCCTCCTGGTACTGCGACAGCAGGGTTACCTGTCAAGCTCTGAGCTCCCTGGCGGAAGGAGGGCAGCAGGTGCCAGAATGGGCCTCGAACTTGTACTCGTTGTGGTTGTTGTTGTTGGAGGCGAGGGTGATTCCTTATAATCCCCAAACATATCACCCCCCCCCCGGCCCCAGGTCCTCTTCAATTTCAAAGGGCTGGGCACCCGGCCCAGGCCATAAAAGTAGAGGAGCCGGCCCTGCTTGTTCAGCGCTCCGGCCATGCGCAACCTCCCGGCTTCGCAGGCGCGAGGCGAGTGAGTCGAAGATCTCACCAAGACACCCGCTCTCTCCCCGAAAGAGGCCTCTTCGCCACGCCGGCTTCCGACTTGTGCTCCATGGAGGCCAGCATCTTCCAGAGGCCTCGGGCGGGGCGGATCCCAGGTCTCGAGCTGCTGGCTATTTCTTGGGCCCCGGACTAAAGGGTCGCTTCACGGCGGCGTCCCAACGCCGTTCGAAGGAGTGGTCCGAGCTCAGGCGCCCTGGCGCACTTCGCATCGCCTCCTACTGGTATCTGCCACTGCTTCTCCCGAAAGTGTCACGAAAGGTTCCAACTTTGCCTGCGCGTATGGCGTGCCCACACGCACACACACAGGAAATGGGAATAAAAGTATGAAGAAGCCGTGAAGACGCTTTCCGCGGACCTCCGCTGTCTAGATCTCTCACCTGCCCTCCGCAAAGGCAACCGAGGGGCGCAGTCTCAAGCCCCTTCGGACGGGCTCCGGGTCCTGGAAGCACGCTTTATCGGCGCTCAGATGCAAGGATGTGCTGAGTGCCTTCCCGCGCCTTCTCCACCGCCTCCAGCTCCACCCGATGCACGATGGCGTTGGCCCCTCGGAAAAAAAACCAAGCTCAAGAGGGAGGCCCCCCTTTGCAAAAGGCAGAACTGGGAGGCAGAAGTGAGCCCGAGCCACCCATGCCCAGGATGCCGCCCTCTCCGGGATGATCGAACTGCTGCCTCCGATTCTCCGGAAATACTTAAATGCTTGAGGACCTTAGGGCAAGAGAGGAAGAAAGGAGGAACATGCTCCCCACTGCCTTTCCATCTTGCTGGTCGAGATGTTCATGAAATCCTAAAGCACCCAAGGACCAAAGAGCTGAAAGGGTACTATAATAGCAAGCTCCTCTCTCAATTTTCCGAGGCAAGCAGCTCGCTTGCTGCGGGGGTCATCGGAATAGCTGAAGATGATCGGATGCGTCGACCGGAAGGCCTCGCCGGAGGTAAAGTCCCAGGCTCGGAGATTCGTGTCCAGGAAGTTCTCCGCCAGCAGCGTTCCGGGAGCCCCGGGGCGCTCCTCGTGGCCTTCAGAAAGCACGCACCGAAAGGGCGGAGCCGCTCGCAGCCGCTCTCTCTCTTCGTTGGTCCCAAGGGGCGGAAGGTGAAAGGCTCGTGCGCCTCCTTGTCTCCCTTCAACCTCCACTTCGGAATCTGGCACCGGACACCCTCCTTTTCCCTCAAATCAAGCCAGGCTGCACCGAGAAGATCGCCAGTTCGAAACGACATCGGGAGTTCCAGCAGATGATCGTCGATGCGCCTGCTGTCAGCAAGTCCGCAGCAAATCAAAACCTCTGCAGGGAAGCCCAGAAAAAAATAAACCGAGCGGGGCACCGAGGGAGTCGCTGCCGGCTTTCACGATCTCCAAGCCGAAGGTCGATTGCAAACGCGCGATCTGAACACCGACCTCGGGCTCTCCAAACGATGTCTCTCCAAGGAGAAGCGACTCCAAACTTTAACAGGGGCCCCCCGGGCCTCCACAGCTGCTTCCTCGAGAACGAGGTCGAACTCCGGAGGCAAGCCGAACATGGTGAACATCATCCAACTTTTCCCGATGATGCACTGCCTGTCAAGGAATGTCAAAGTCGCACCATAAAGCACTCGCTTTGGGGCTTTGAAGTTTTCGCCATAAGCCAAGTCACTTCTCGCAGGTCAGGTAGGAGTTTACGCGATCGTTGAGAATGTGCCGAACGGCGTCGATCGTCGCCTCGACCTCGGACGCTGAAAAACTCCAAAACCAATCTGCAGATCCACAACCATCTGAACTTTACCTTACGCATTACGCTCCAAGAAGCGGGGATGACCGCCGCCATCGTACAGACGCCCGACACCAGGAGCTCTACCTCCACGTGGGAGGAGTCTGGGAACGTCTCCACCTTCAGCCTCTTCCCCTGAAGAGAACGGGAGAAAAAACAGGCGCATTAAGATCATTTTGGGAGCACTCCAGCCTTGGGCGGATCAGGCAGCGGCCGCAGCTGCGGGGAGGGCTCTCGACCCCTGGAAGTGCTGTCCAAAGAAAGAGTGCCAAAAAAAATAGCCACACGGACATCCGACGGGCGGTGCCTCAACCGCTCCTCGATGATCTCCAGCTCCACGAGCTGCCGCTGGAACCCGACGTTCTCGAGGATGAAGGGCCGACACTTCGACTGGAGGAGGGCTCTGTCGGAAACAGGCACTAAAAAAAGAACCGTGAAGAGCTGAGCTGCGGGCGCAGACGGTCAGGATCTCCTCCAACTTCTTCCCCTGCAGAATCTGCACTGCCACCGCCAGCGTGGCTGAGCGGTTCTGGCCCGCTACGCAGAAGAAGAGCACGTTACCACCTGCTCCGGAAGCAAAGACTTCACCCGATATCATGCTCACAGGTTTGTGAGGAGCAGAAACGGAGGTAGCAGGGCACAAGACCCTCCTGGCAACAATTCCGCACTTGCACCTGTTTGCCGCACTCGGTCGTAGAATGACTTGGCAGTCTCCAGGTGTTCGGATCGATGACCGTCGCGATCATGTAGGATCGGATAGCTGTAATCGTCCTCAATGAAGGTTTCCATGGAAAAATGCATCCAACGAAGATCCGATGGCGCCTGGCTGACATTCGTGTAGCCGTACGCGATGCCTGGGCAGAACCCGGGACCCGGGCAGGTGTCTGGAAGGACACATTGCCACCTATAACCAGGCTCCACGCCATGGTGGGTGTACACATCCAGGTTCAAGGAGCTGATGCCCGTCGGAGCACAGTTCATGGCACCAGTGACCTCGGCATCTGACACCCTACAATGCTATACAACAGGACACCAGACATGTCTAGGCTTGGGCACCCCCAGGCTGACCAGTGTGCGCACGTCCGTCGCGTGACCTCGGGGGCTGAAGCAAGCAACAGCATCCCAGAGTCGCGCGGAGCAAAAGAACTGATGCCTGAAGCGCAACTCTGTCCCAAGCACGTGACGTTTGTTTCCAACGAACAAGCCCTCGCCCACCTGGGCCGTAGGGTGCCGTTCGAAAGGCTCGGAAAAATGCCGCAGTGACATCCTTGGTACCGTGCCTGGGATGGACAGGTGTCCTGGCCGTTGATGGGTTGCGCCACTAAGCGGCGCAGCATCGCCAGCTTTCTCTCCATGGCCTCCTGAAAGGAGACAATAACCCCCCGCAGCATCCCCTTGGTTCTGTTCTCTGCTGGGGCCTCGCTGATCTCCAGGAACCCTGGCAGAGGTCGCTTGCCATTGGAGGGCTCCATGGCGGCAAAATAGCACGCACTTCTATGCAACTTGCAGGCGGGGCTTCGCTTCATCTGCTGGGCGGGGCTGCTCTCAGCTTGAATTGAAAACGAGGCCCTAAGCTACAGCCCGGCTCTGCTTGGCCCAAGAGCTCTGCGATGTGTTCGAAGCATTGCAACATCCCCCCAGCTGTCTGCAGGGTCTGCGATCTTCTGCTCGTGGCCTGGCGCGTGCCCGGGTCACGGTGTTCCAGGCGGGCCTCGGCCAGGGCGATGGCCTCGCTGAGGTGAAAAGTTGCAGATGGCGGAAGTCTCAGACTCAGAGAGAAGACGGTCACTAGAAAAATAACTAGAAAGTCAAGATCCCACACGGCCACGCATGCGAGCTCCTTTCTCCAGGGCTGCGAAATTGAAATCTGCCTGTCGAGCGATATCCATCAAACGAGATGCCATCGGCTGTTCTGTACACTGTACATGAGATATTACTACTGTAACTGTGGCATGTTCTCACTTTCCTCTCCTGCGCAATGCCTGCCCGGAGATTAATGCCTGAGCTTCCCTGGTCCCTGGTTCCTCAGTCATCCTCGGCCCTCCTCCCGGGGCGTCGGAGTCCTCTGAGCTCAGCACTGCCAGGGCTTTCCTCGGCTCTTCCGTCGGCTCTCCCACGGTTTCAGGCGCGTCTTTTCGCTCATCTCCAACCTCTGGAGCTTCCGGAGGTGCTTCTGGACGCCGCGATCATGAAAGGGATTCCCCAAGATCTCCGGCTTTGGGGCGGGCTCCTTGGGGATGGGGATCAAGTCCTCGAGCAAGCGCCCGAGGTGGGCCACGATCGCTTTCAGCAGGGAGGCGGCGGGCCCCAGTGGCACAAGGCTCTGGTCCTTGGCGTCGACTTCTGAGGCCTTCACTTGGCTACGCATGGCGTCGAATCTCCTCTATATCAATGTTCTCCCTATAGACTTGCCTGCGTCGGAAACCTGCGAGCCCAAATCCACATCATGCAGAGCGTGCATGGCACACATTGAAGTGCAGAGACGAAGTGCAATGTGAGAAAAGACAGCTGGTCACCGCAGCTTGTGCAGGTCCGGAATGCGCAGATCATCAGCGCGGTGGTGGCGGTTGTGGTGGTGCTGCTGCTGAGGCCTGTGCCTTCCGATGGCCGACCCCACAGAGCTCGGCCATGCCGTAGATGGCGGCCATGCGCGGCAAAGGATCGAAGTCCTGAGACCGACACGCGGACGAAAATCAGAGCTGGTTGCACCAGTTGGGCCCTCCTCCAGCATCTTCGCCAGCTTCCGAAGGGACGGCAGGTCGTTCAGCGTCGCTGTAGCGGCCAGCGAGTCGGTGGCAGCCTGCCATCCGAAAGCCGAAGAGAAACCCTCGTGGGCTCCGACCCTAATCGCTTTCTGCCTTCCGCACGATCCAGGACCTTGCAACAAATCTTGCTGGGCAAGATGACCAGCTCTGGCTTCTGAAAGGGCGCGCCTGTCATCGCAGGCACTCTTCTCGAGCTCGATGGCGTGTTGATCGCCTTTTTCCTGGTTCGGCATAGACCCCTACTGGTACTGCCCATTCCTCCAGAATAAACATTAAGTGACAGAAGCAGAGCAGAGGATCCGGCAGCGATCTTGGCAACCTTGGCCGGGACGAAGCGGGGTCTCTCAAACGGAAGTTCCGTCCGGGTGCTGCGCTGCGACGACCGCCGCCCGGCGCACGGACTCGTGCCAATCGTCGAGCCTGCGCGTCCACCCCACTCCGAAGGAACCATATTCCTTTCCAACATGTTCCGTGGCCAACCATCTCAAGTGACAGGGGTGTTGGGACGTCCCCAGCTGAACCATGTTAAACCTAGCCAGCCCTGGTACTCTCACGACGATCTCAAAGCCAAGTCCACCTCGGCGAGATCCAGTCGATGGCCTCCCGCGAGCCCTTCGGGACCAAGGCGGCGATGGCCTACGCGGACACATGTCAACCAAGACGATGCACAAAGCGGCATAGACGGCACCTTGATGGCCGACTCCCGCACGGTTCCCATCTGGTCCTGAAAGGGCAAACGCACTTCGAAGCCTCGCTTGCAAGGCGGGAAACTTTGGCACCCCTTTGCCTCAAGGAGTCGCTTGGCAGCTGCGAGCGTCTCCGGGCAATCCTAGGATTGCCAGAGATCAGAGAATCTGTGAGTCAGAGCGAAGCAGAAAGCTTTCAAGCAGAGAAAAAGCAGCGCTTTGGGCGATGCACCGGTGCTGCTCTGGAGGCCATGGTGTCAATGGCAGCGCGCCTGACCTCGGCAATGGCATGCAGTGGCTCGGCTTCGGCTTTCGAACTGGCAGCAAGCTGCTGCGGAGAGTGATTTTGCCGCTTTCCGCCTCTTTCAGCCAGCTCTCTGTCTCTCCTCTGTGACTTAGTACCTACTTTGACCTCGCCAAGGCTTTCTCGAGGCTTCCACTGGCATGCGGTTCCCCACGTCATGAGTCCTGGCCTCCTGGCGTCTGGCCTCTGCCCTTCTAGTCCGATTCCATGGGTCCGTGCTGCGTCTCCAGGAACGTTTTGAAAGTGCGGCCTCTGAGCCTAACTTCCCTATTGCGCCTAGGCGAAGTCCATGTCGGCGGGCTCCTCGTCGAAGTCCGAGTCTTCGAAGTCTTGGGCCTCGTCGAGATCAGCAGAGCCCGGGGCCCCCTTGGCGGCGCGCGCCAGGGCCGCGAGGGTAGCCCTCTCTGCTCGGCGCTTCGCCTTCTTCCCCTTCCTCATCTTCTTGTACCGGGCTTTCCAGAAGTCTATCTTTGCTTGCTTCTCTTCTGCGGTCTTCTTAGGGGCAGAGATTGTCCGGTTCTCCCACCTCTCCTTCAGGAGCGCCTTGACGTCCTCTGCGCTCTCTGCCGTCACTGCCCTCCGAATCCACTTCTGCACGTGGTTTTTGCAATTCCGGGCCATTGATAAGCTCTTCTTGGAGGTGTAGTGGATGTGGGGTCCCTCCAGCCGCAAGGTCTTTTTCATCTGGGTAGCATAAGGGTTCCGCTGCTCCTGGGGCTTCACGAGATGATCGTCCTTCGTCATGATTAAGAGCATGGGAAGCTTCCGTTCCTGTAGCTCTTGCACGAAGCGCCTACAAGCCCGGGACGGCTTCTTGTGGCTCTGCTGCAGGTGCATCATAAGGCGCAAATCGTAGACACCCTCCTCGCACATCTGAAGATATCGCAGCACGAGGTCCTCCCAGACCGCCTCCCATCGCTTTAGTACGCCCTGGTGGGCCATCTCCTCGGGATCAGGATACCCCGGCAAATCGACCAGGACGAAGCGGTTGTTCACGACATAGAAATCGATGCTCGTTGTGCGCCCTGCCCTCGAGGATGCTTTGGCGGCATAGTTCCATCTCACAACGTGGTTGATCAAGGAGGACTTCCCGCAGTTCGTCATGCCGTTCACGGCAATGTGGGGCATTCTCAGCCAGGCATTCTCAGGAACCATCGCATCTTCGCTCAGCTTGGGCACCCTGGGGAGGTCCGTCGAAGTTGGGGCTTTCCAAACCCTGTCAACGACGTTGAACTTCTTGGAAATCACCTTTCGCTGGCGGTACCACAACTCTATCAAGCATCCACTACGTAGTAACTAGCGCTGCTGAGCTCAGAGGTTTTCAAGCTCAAAACAACAACCGCCTTTCAAAAATGCCCCGCGCCTGTTCCCAAAGCTCGTAGGGCACATCGCCATCGTCTTCTTCGTTCTCTGTCTCAGGGGAAGACCCCGACTTCCAACGGGGCGGTGCCTTCGGCTCCTTCGGCTCCTTGGGCGGAAGCTCCTCCGCCGTCTCCTCCGCCGGAAGCTCCGCGAAGCTTCTTGGACCGACCTCGCGACCGAATTCCTCGGCCCGGTCCTCGGCCTCCTCGGCGGCCGCCGCCTGAGCCAGCAAGGTCGGATCGCCTGCTTCTGCGGCCTCCGCCGCTTCGGGGAAGGCCTCCTCCGCCCAAGGCGCATCCTGCTTGCGCCGCGCGAAGGGGTTCGACAGCTCCTCCTCGTCCTCGTCCTCGTCGTAGATGCTCTGCACCTTCTTCACCGGGATTCGGAGCCTCGCGTTGTTCTCCAAAAGCACATCCAAGGCTTCATCAACGATGCCGGGGTCGAGCATGCGCCCTTCCTTGGTGCGCTTCCCGTCCCTGGCAGCTTTACGCAGGCGCGATGCCAGCTGAAGCGCATGCCGCGTCGTCGGAGCCTGCTTCAGGAGCCTGTAGACCTCTGTGACGTTCAGTGTGTCTGTGACCGCACCCGCGCGGAGGCCGATCCGGGATCCACGCCTCCTCGAAAGCACGAACACAGGAGCAAGGGACACAACAAGATCTCTGCGACACAAGTGCAGAAGACCATCGCAAGAAAGTCCCTGCCTCAGCCATCTCGGACCCGTCCGCGCGACGAGGGACGCGAGGGACGCAACAAGCACACCCGAAGCGATGGAAGTCCGGGCGTGAGCGAGCAGAGCCTCTCCCCTCCCCGGGGCCGCTTTGGCCTCTGCCCAAGAGGGCCGGGACGGGCCCTGGCGCGTGGGGCCCGTGTGGCACGGGGCTCGGAGACTGGCCGGGGCCAGGGCCATGGCGAGGAGAGCAGCCAGGGCACTTCCGCGCGGGACACCCTCTCAGAGTTGGAGCCGCGATCAATGCATCCAAGCACATGCAGAAGGGGAGCCTAAGACGCCTTAGCCGCGCTGCAGAAGGTCCTCCCTGGGGTCCAAACTCCCCAGTCCTCGTCTGTTAGCCGGGACTTCACAGCCTCCTCCACCTCGGACGGGCGCAGACTGCCGGAAAGGCCTTTTGGCATCAACGAATCAAGAGCAAAGCATTGCCTGCAGGTCCAGTGCCGTCCCTCGTGTGGCCTTGCAAAGAAGTCGAAGACACTCGGTTTTGACTCCTTGAAAACCTGTTCTTCTCTCTTGCATACACCCGCCATCGATTGGCTTGCGTAGCTTGAGGACACGGCGTGTCCGAACTTGCCTGTGATGTCTGCCAGAGTGCTCAATGCTGCAATCCTCGTCCACTCCTTGCAGCCAGTGTGAGATCGTGGTCGTGCCAGGGAAACCGCTAAGTTCGTGCCAAAGCGAATTTGAGACCAAGCTTGCGGCACAGGTACTGGACACGCGCTCCAACGTCGCCTGGACCTCACGAGACTAGGACTCAATACTTACGAATACTTGTGTGTTTCGAGCTTTTCCTTCGGCATTGAGGCTTCTTGGGAAGGCACAGTGCGCGGGTCGCCGATGTCGGCAACTTTGGACATGGCGCCCTGCGCAGCGAGCTGCACAGCAACATCTTCGTCTCCCAGGGCCTCCCACGGCACAGAGAGAAAAGTGTCGGAGAGTCTCGCAACCCTCTTCGACTCCACCGAAGTCACGAGCCTTGGCCAAGGCCGCGATGGCCTCAGGGTCACCGGGGTATCTGCCAAGGTCCTTCACTGCCTGACAAGGCGTGGCGGTCGCAGTATGTCGCAGCCTGATGGCAGTATGATGCCGCTGTCATGCGCTGTCCGTGCCTTGCGGCGCACCGGCACATCGTGGTGCGTCGCGTCTCTCAGGAGCTCCTCCTGAGGTCCGCTCAGCCGACCGGACATGCTTGAAAAACCGGTCCCCGACCTTCGGTCGAAGGGGCCGCCGCTTCTTGGTCTCGGCGGCAAAGGCGCGGCCTGCTTGTGCAGTTTGTTCACGGGTTGCTCACCGCATGTGCACTGCCGACCGAATCGCCATGCCCGCGAAACTTGAGCAAAACGGCTCCCTGCCTCGCTGGCACGCGAACGCGGGGAGGCGTTGCCTGGACTGGCGTCGGAGGGGTGCGGGCATTTTGGGGAGGTTTCCCAGGAGCACAGAGGAGCACCTCGACAGCACCCCAGCCAGGCTGGCCTCCGCAAGGAAAGGTGCGACACGCAGATCACAACAGGGCGCACTGCCATGCAGTACCCAGGCTCCGCGCGGAGCGGCTGCAGCTGGCCCAGCTTGCCCTCCGGACCTTCATCCACAGATCTCTGTCTTTCCCTGTCTTTCTGAGTGGAGAGGCAGTGAGAGGGCAGCACCGCGACACGGAAGGCTCGAACGCCACAGCTGCGGCCCCACATGGCAAAGCTGCGGTATACGTGGCACGGCTAGGAAGCCTGCTGTGGGCCGCTGCTGTGTGTTCCCTCGCCTGGACTTGGCAAGTCTGCTTAGGGCAGCATGCTGCATGATCTGCATGAGGTGACGGCTCATGTCGAAAGAGCCGGCACTGCTGCGCTCTCGCTGAAGAAGGCTGCCGGCTGATATATGCTGATTCACACAATCTGCACCTGTCAGCCAGGGCCACTCTGCGCTTTTTGTTGGCCTGCTGCTATCCGGCGCAATGATCCCAACCGATGCCAAATATGTACACCACTGCTTGCATGGTCAGATCACTTTAGAAACATGAGACTCCGAGAGCTCTTCGAACCCTGCACACCGCCATAATGAGGTGATGATCAATCAGCTAAGACTGCGAAAAAGTGGTCGGCATTCTGCAAACAGTGCTGGAAAGCAGGGTGGCAAGTTGTTCTGGCCTCCCGACAATCCATCAAGAAAAGACGGCCTTGGCTGACTGCACGTGCGGTGGAACTACCTGCAGCCTAGAACACAATCCAGAGCCAAAAGTTTAGCCATGTCTAGCCAAGCAGCATGCGGCCTGAGATTCACGGTCTTTGTGTCTTGCCTTCGGAACATCAGCAAGCAGGCGTGGTGCCCCTCTGAGTCGATGGTCTCTTGGATGTCCCTCTTGCAGCGCACTGCTGCGTCGTCCAGCACATGCCAGGACCCTTCCGGCCGACCCTCCGGCCCTGGCCGCTGCCCGTTCTCCGGCCTTAAGTCGTCGCAATGCAACGCGAAGGCCTTGTAGGCCCCGCCTTCCGGGACTTCGCCGTAGTGGCAGATGGCACTCCGCAGTTGGTATGTGACCTCAGAAGACGAAGCAAGGGGAGTGTCAAAAGCTCCAGAAGAGGACACACCGCATATCCATTTCCTCCAAGTGGCTGAGCGCAGGGTGTAACCCGTGGCCTCCTCCAGCTCCATTTCGAGGCCTATGCGACCTCGGGGAGCACGAAACACAACGCCCAAGGCTTGGGTGGGCATGCTTGGGCACTGGACAGGGCTAGCACGTGTCTATCACGAGATTGTTTTAAAAATATATCTATTCATGTGTTTATTTGTTTATTTATCTGATACACATATATATAGAGAGAGAGAGAGAGAGAGAGAGAGAGAGAGAGAGAGATGTATTAAATTTTACATACATATATATATATATATGCATGCTCACATTCAATGTATATTCTAGGTCTAGGTCTGTAAAGGCCTGGGCCCCGGGCACTTTCGGTTGACCCGGTCGGGTAAGCCGTCGCTTCCCGTGCGGAAGCGGTGCAGGTGGAGGAGCAAGAAAGGCGGGAGCCGAAGGAACCGGGCTTCCTGCCGCGTCAAAAGCTGCTCCACGGCTGCCTCAACAGAGATGGGCGTCTTGGGATCCCCGAAAGGGTCCGCGAGGTCCAGGTGAAGCAAGAGGAAGGGCGCCACATCCGTGTGAGCGTGACCATCGCCGAGGGTGCTCACTCGCCTCCCATGGGAGGACTTCCGGACGAGGCCTCCAAAGATTCGCATCATCGGTGAGTCCTCGTGCTGGTAAGGCACCGCGGAGAGAGTTGGCCACTTGCACTCGTCATGAAGCTCACCGAGGAAAAACCGCAGGAAGCAGGAGAACATGTCGGGACCGACAAGGTCAGGGAAAACCGGCGCCTCTTGCACCGACTTCCCCCTCTCAAATCGTCTCAGGAGCGGCTCGGCGAGGAAAGCTGCGTCGACCTCGGACGGAGAGCTTCTCTGACGGACTTGGATCGTTCGAGGTCGTTTGGGAGTCGTTTGGGAACGGGCTTCGCTGCAGACGAACGGCCGCGTGGTCGCCCGTGGCCTGCAGGCGATTGAACACGCCCGCGGAGCCCGCAGAAGCTCCCGGAAGCTCCGAGTGTCCGTAGAACTCCCAGGCCAACTGCATGAGGCAGTGGTACGCCGGGCGCTGATGCGGCTGATGCGGCTGCTTCTGCCAGGAGACCTGTGCCAGCAGATGGCAGAGCGGTGAGCACGCAAGCAGCGCCTGCACCCAGGCATTGAGAAAGGGGATCGCGTAGCAAGGCAGCAAGCCCCGGAGCCGCACGGGCAAGAGCTCCTTGAGAACACGGCTCCGAAGAGACAGACTCTAGACTCGAGAACGTTAGCATCTTCTAGTTATAGGATGTCTCGAAACCAAAAAAGGACGAAGAGAAGAGCTCCAGAACACAGGCCCAGTCACGGAGCTCAGGTCCAAGCAGAGGGATCTCGGCTCCCGCCCCCCGCGGCGTGGGGCCACCCGCTCGGCGTGCTTCAACCTGAAGGACGACATGAACCCGAAAAGGGCCTACAGGGTTCATATACCATATAGGGATTCATAGTATATAGGATTCAAACACCATATAGGGCTTCATAGTATAAAGGTATAGGGCCCCTACTTATGAGGGTCATTTGGTCCCCAAGGCACAAGAGCTCCAAGAGGTCCGGCGGGGCCTTGGCCTCTCCGCCATCGGACGGGTCCTCGCTGGACCACTCGCTGTCCTCCTCGCGCTCTTCTCCTCGCGCCTCTTCGCAAAGATTAGGGATATCTGAGAGAGGACCCGAAATGCTACATTATATATTATAATACGCTTCCTCAAAGAAAGGGATGCAAAACGAGGGGGGGGCACTCAGGTCCCAACTCTCTCCCTCCCCTCCCTTTCCCGAGCCTCTCTCAAGGACATGAGCCGGCGCATGAGCCCGGACTGGGTGGCGGCAGCTGCGGCGCCGGTGAAGAAAGCCGCTGCGTTCAGGCCCGTGGACGGGGAGGAGTAGCCGGAGCGGCGGTTGGGAGAGGCCACTCCAGACGGGAAGCCCGGGATAGGGGAGCAGTAGCCACTGAAGGAGGTCGGGGATCGGGCGGGGGAGTGGTGCGAGACGGGTGTGTGGATGTTGGGTGTTCTGGAGATGGCAAAGGGGCTGCTGTGCCACATGAAGCCCAAGCTCGGCCCGGACTCCGCGGAGGCCTTGCTGCGCCGCCGCAGGGGTGCGCTGGAAGGGGCTGGGGCCGGGGCCGGGGCGCGCAGGAGCGGGGCCAAGGCATCCACGGGCCAGGCGTTCAAGGCCGGCGCCAAGGGTCCTTCCTCGAAGGTCTCTGACGCTTGGCTGCCCGATTGCACCCACTGGCTGCCCGACTGAGGCACCTGCAGCGCCTCCGCCACGGCCACATTTCGCAGCGCCGAGTCAATGCTGGCTGCGCTGGGCAAGGAGCCTCTGTAGATGCCATGGTAGGCCTGGTAGTCATCCCCATAGGCACCGCCACCCGGGGTGTGGCAATGTGAGCGTGGGGAGTTCGACTGAGTGATGTCACCTGGTGTGTTCGATGGCGAGGGTGCCAGCACGAAGCGCAGGGCCTCGCCGTCGAAGAAGGAGTCGCAAGAAGATGCCCGGCTAAGTGCCCGGCTGCGTGGCACTGAAGCGACACCTCTGCAGCTTGGCATCGCCAAGTTTCTCGGGGGCAAAATCAAAACGTCAAGTCCAAACATACTCAACCCTTCCCAGCCGACCCGAAACACCAATTCCCAAATCTTGAACCAAGCTTCAAGGAATTTCCGAAATTGTTCTTGCCTTCTGCAAGCTCCAAGCGTCATCGCTGAGAAGTGGTTTGGTTGTAGTTGTGTTTTTAGTTTCTATGAACGCAGAGACCTTTGGAAAAGCCTATGCCCCAGCCTTCGGTGGCTGTCACAGTCGGGGCTGTCGAGACTTGTCTTTTCCCAGCCCTGTCGCCCCCCTCATCTGCCTTCTTATCTGAATGGCCTTCTTTGGAGCTTTGGCGGCTTCTGCGGTGTTTGCAGGCTTGTCTCCCAATTTGTCTGCGCCGATACCACAAGGTGTGTCAGGGGTCTGCTCGCTTTCTTCCCGTTGGGCTTGCTTTCTCACTATGTCTCACCCAATTCGTTCCGAAGCAGACATTACCACTGCGTCAGTTGCAGTTTTCCTGCCGGTTGCAACTCAGAAAACCGCGCCTGAGGCGGCACCGGAAGAGCCGCAGCCTGCGGGAGCCGGGTAGCTTGGTGAAGGCGACGGCGAGGGCGCCGAGGGTGTCGAGGACGGCGCGGGGCCCAATCTTTGGAGCATCGCGGCCTTGAGGCGCGTCTCGGCACTCCTCACTTCCTCCACCAGCCCCAGGGCCCGAGCCTCTGCAAGCAGTGTTAAGACCTGCTCCATGCTCTGGCCCAAGGATCGCTTCACGCTCGCAGCGCTGGCAGACTCCTCATCTTGGGAGGGCGGGCAAGGGGCCTCGTTTCGGCGCGCGCGGGCCAAATTGGGCTCTGCCCTTGCGAGCTGTTCACCTGGTCGGGCGCCCTCGAAGCAAATGCCCAACTTGGCGAGCGGCGGACATTCTGCGCGTGCTCCCAAAGCTCCGGCTGGAGTTGTGCTGCGGCCCCGTGGTTCAGAGGTCTCCTCCACACCTCGGCACAGGAGGCCCATAGGCCGATAGCCCATGACGAGTTGCGGCACACATGGAATGGGTGAAAAGGCGAAAAGCGTGGCGCACAGACACTGGCGAGTGAGCACATGAATTCTGAATGCATGAAGTGCAAATGGTGTGTGGAAGAGCCGAGAGCGAGATCTGTGCTCCAACGCGCAAGCTGCGCTGCATGAGCTCATGGAGCCAAACTATGAGAAGCTTTGCACCCGCTGGAAACATGACCCGAGTGAGTGCGTGGCTGAGTGAGAGCGCGAAAGAAGGCAAGAGAGTAAGCAGCGTAGAAGTGTACGAAAATCACATGAGGAGGTGAGTGGCTGACTGCGGGTGCATAGTGGAGGGCACTCGAAAAAGCCGCGCGAGAGAGCGAGAGCGAGATCGCCAGAGAAAGAGAGCGACAGAGAGCATCAGAGAGAGAGAGAGAGAGACAGAGAGAAACAGAGAGAAACAGAGAGAGTCAGCGACAAGCTTGGATTGACACCTGCTATGTCACAACCAGAGTCCCAGAATCCCAACTTTCAAAACCTTTTGGTACTGCTCCAAACGAACTCCAATCTCTGGTCCAAGCCTCGACTGTCGTTTGCCTCAGCCGTCTTCCGCACGAAGGTCTTCCAATGCATAGAGGTCGCTGGCAAGCCCCAGGGCCCCCCCGGCTCCTTACGTAAGCAGTTTTCAGCAAACTAGCAAAGTGGCAAATTACTGTAGCGATGCAAAGAGACCCAACGAGAAAGCCCGTGCTCCCGCAGCTTGGAAACGGGGGAAGGCGAGTGCGTCCCCGTCGCCTCGGAGGTCTCCTGAAAGGAGAGAGACGGCGCTTCTTCCCCAGTCCCAGAACCTTCAGCTTCGAGCCTGGTCGGTGGGGAAGTTCTGGTGCTTTGGGCTGCAGGAAGAGGACGAGAGCATCTGCGACTTGGGGCTCCCGAAGCTGGTCGCGAACTTGCTGGGCCCGGGCCTCGCGATGTTGAGAGAAAGCCGCAAAACGGCGCGTGCTTTCAACTTCCACGAGAGAGGCCCCCCCCGGGCCCTGGCCTAATGCTGTTGGAAGCGGGGCTGAAGCAGCTGCCTGCGCGGACGTGCGAAGGCGCGGAGGACAGGAACGCCGCTCGGCTTGGCTCAAGTCCCCGCCTGGAGATTGGGCCTTCGGCGACGCTTCCGGCAACGAGCTTGTAGCTGATTCGGGTGGTAGCGAGTCTGCATGTGCCATCCGAACCACCTGCCGACTGGAGATATCTGCTCTCTTCTTCTGCTCTTTGACTCTTTCACTCTCTTTTAGACTCGAGTGCCTTCTGCTGACCTTCGTCATCAGAATCCGTCTCGTCCGCCCACCTCCTTCTGCGGGCTCTGATGATCCCCCAGAGCTGCGGGGGCCCGGGCCCTTCTTCGCCCTCGGCAAGCTCGTCGTCCTCAGAGCTCTCCGCCTCCTCCACAGCCTCCTCGGCTCCCTTTTCCTCCTCCTTTTCGGCCTCCGCCTCTGCCGCCTTCTTCTTGGGTGTCGGATCGGCGGCTTTCCACTCCAGGGAGCCGAGGCTTGGCGAGCCGCTCTGAGCCGACGCCCACTCGGCCCTGAGAAGACCCGAAGCCCCGATCTCCACGCACTTCACATCCACAAAGCGGGGCACCTCAAAGAAGTCCAAAGCCGCCAGAAAGTCCCAGGGGATTGGCCCACCGAGCCGGAGCACTGCCTCGCTGCCAGGACAAAGGCTCCTCCACAAGTGCGCCTGGGCCCCAAGGCGCGTCCCGTGGAGTAGCAACAGCTCCCGGGGACGATGCCGCGCCAGCCTGCCCCTGCAGAAGGAAGACTTTGAATCGGCCTCAGATGCAAAGCCTCGGCACACGGCCTCAGCTATCCACTCCGCCGAACAGCTCGGCCGCTCCAGCTGGAAAAGCACAAGGCTCAACGGTGAAGAGCTCGGTTCCTGCGGCTTGGAAGGCTGCATGTCTGCGGCTGTGTGGTATCTGCAAGGCTTCGCGGCGATCAGGTCCACCGCTAAACCGGAGCCAGTGACCTCTCTCAGCACCTTTGCAAAGGCCCGCCATACCGACGGCTGGATCCCGTCTTTCCTCTTTGAATGGGGTGGCCCCACATCCGTGTGCAGGAAGAGGCACCCGATCCTGGGCCGGAAGCAGAAAGAGAGCAGGTGCCCAGAAGCCTGTGGTAACTCTCACCGCAATCCCTGTTTCGTGGAAGTCAGCCTCAGCCCCATACACTACACACCACTGCCCGGTATACCAAACACCAGTCCCCAGAAAAGGACGAAGACTTGCCTGATGAAGACCAGCACCGGGCAGAGGGGCCGCCCGGGATAATTTCGAGGGAGCCGTGCCGTACAGTTTAGTCGGAGCCTCCTGTTTTTCGCTTGTGGCCTGTTTGCCAAAAGAAGGACATGCTGCAGTTGTTGTGCACACGAACTCTCAAGCCCGCCCAGGCCCCAAGCCAACCCAAGACCCCCAAAACATATTGTTCACAACGCCGACGAGTGGTCGGGGCGGGGGCACTAAAGACAGTACATCTTGAATATTTGTCAGTCTTGGGCCGGCCGGCGAAGAGCATTGACCCGCTGACGGCTGGCCAGCCAAGCAATCAAATTGACACTGCCGAACGTCCATCCCGGCTTTCCACTTTGCGTCTCACCAACGCGCACATCGCATCGGGCACAACTGCAGGGCCCTCAGTGTTCCTTGTTGCAAGTCGCTGCCTAGAGGTCCAGTTTACATGGCAAGCTCTGGACGATGGTCTCCCATGTCTGCGCTCCAACGCAGTGCTGCCGACATCGCAGTTGCTCCCTGGAGCGGTGCCGGTGGTGCCCCTAGCATGGCCCCGCCGACCAAGTGGGTGCCATCTTCAACCGGTGGAGAAGCAGGCTTACGATCCGACACACGACCTTGAAAAGTCTTGCAAGCCAGAAACTGCTGCAGGGAAACTGAAGCTAACGTGCTAGGAGCCAGCACCGCGCATGGACATGTTGGGAGCCCCGGCCTAAACCAGTGAAACGCCTCACTCCAGGCCTCCCAGCCCGAGCTTCAGCCGAGGCTCATCCGCTGCCGTTCTCTGGGCTCTGCGGGCTCTGCGGCCTTCGGCTGATCCGCTGCCTGACACCGAAAACCAAGGACTAAATCTCGAACTCTCGGAGCAGGGTAGAATCTCCAAATTCGACGAATTGGAAGAGCCTCTTTGATGTCGGTGCGCTACGCTGCTGCTAGGATTTCATTGCCTAGCAAACTCCAGTTCTAGACAAGTACAGCTCAAGCTTGCTAGCTTTGCGACTTGCTGTCGAACTCCAAGCTCTTCGGCTTTAGCTCATCTTCCTGTGCAAGCATGACCTCCTTCCTCCATGCCCGGCTTTCCAAAGCACAGACTTCAAGAGAGGCCAGAACTCAAGATCTGCATCCGGAGATGGCCCGCCACTGTCCTTCTCGGCTCCCAGCCTCCAGCGGCTCCGAGGCAGGTACGGGGCCGAATTCCGCCTCAGAAGGGGGCTGAAGAAGGTCAGAAGGGCTGTCGTGCTTCCATTCAGGCCTTTCCTCTCTTTCACATTTCCGCGTCCGTGGCTATGCATACCGTATCATGTATGTGTATGCGTCTGCATGCGGATGTGTATACATGCATTCATGTAGGCAAGCAGGCAAGTAAGTTACATAAGCACACGTCCATGCAGGAGTTCCTTCTTGCTTCACCGATGAAGTCTTTCTTGGGTGCTCGTGCACACATACCGTCGGGCGTAGTAGCAAGCACGCGAGTCATGGCGGCACCGCAAGGGTTTATGGCTCCGGTGCAGCCAGGTTTCAGCTTCCAGATCCAGGGCTGCTCCGAAGCAGATTCGCACAGGGCACCTCGACCAGTAAAGGGAAAGGCCTGTTCTTTCTTTCTGGGGCCTTTCTTCTCTGAGGCGGCGACTGCTCTTTGAGCGGCCGATCCATGCGCAGGAAGACCGGCTTCGGCGTGGGCTCCTTTCCCGGACCCGGGCCAAAGGAGGCGGCCAAGGCCAAGGGCCCCCCAGCGCCAGCCGGGGCCCCCCAGCGGGTCGAGATGCGCTTCTGCAGCCAGGCCTGGTGTTCTTGCAGCCTGTCTGCTGGAGAGCACAGGAGGACACCCAAGACGCTCTGGCTTAAGGTGTCCGCTTGGAAGTACCTGCAAAGAAGGGGTATCCGCTCCGGCTCCCCACTTGTGTCATCCTCTGGCACACGCCAGCCCAACATAGATGAGATGGAGGCAGGGTCCACATCGTTGGATTGAAACATCAGGAGAACCGTAGGCGTGACGCGCATTCCATGTGCCGCAGCCAAGGGAAGCAACGTGGAAAGCGGGCTGCGAACTGGCACCAGCCATGGGCACGAGCCACCGGATGCCGGCGTGCAGTCGGGGATCTGGAAGAGCAGCTGGCGCTCCGCGGGAATGCGCAGAGTTTGGTGCACCTGTTGCTTCAAGTCTTCCAGAGATGCAGCTATCGGCAGCTTTAGCTCGGCGGACGCAGGCACCTCGTGGCCACCGGCAAAGGAGCCCCGGGTTGTCTGAAGCATCTTCTCGGTCACGATGCGCACCTGCAGGTGGTCACTGTCGGCCTGCAGCCAGCCCGCAGGCGGAAGGCGGCTTCGCGCAGAAGAGGCAGCTAGCTGTCCTCGTGGGGCAATGGTGCTGTAGACCGCAAGCAGCGGAGTGAGGTCTCGGGTGCACAGCCAGGCATTGGGCACAGAGCCAGGCAGTTGCCAGCGATGGATTTCCTGCATCTGCCCGCCATCCAGCACCCATTCTTTGGCACCATGCAGGAACGTGAGCGTTCGACGTCTTGCAGACAAGTGCCAGGAATCTCCTTTCGACTCCTCTTTCCTGGTCGAGTGGCATAGCAGAGCCACGAGATGCCAAGTCTGTCCTTCCTCCTCTTTGAAGGAATGCGGGAATGCCAGAATCTCGTTTGGAAGCAAGCGCTTCAAGAAGCGAAGCGTCACCAAGGGCCCCAAAGGCCCTAAAGGCCCTAGAGGTCCCTC